CGGTAATGATATCTAGATAGAGTACGTCACAGTAGATATTATTACTGTTAGTTTACAACAGTCAACATAGAGTACGTAACAGTAGATATCATTACCGTTAGTTTACAACAGTCAACATAGAGTACGTAACAAGTAATAATATCTACTGTTACGTACTCTATGTTGACTATTGTAAACTAACGGTAATGATATCTACTGTTACGTACTCTATGTTGACTGTTGTAAACTAACGGTAATGATATCTACTGTTACGTACTCTATGTTGACTGTTGTAAACTAACAGTAATAATATCTACTGTGACATACTCTATGTTGACTGTTGTAAACTAACGGTAATGATATCTACTGTTACATACTCTATGTTGACTGTTGTAAACTAACAGCAATAATATCTAGTGTTACGTACTCTATGTTGACTGTTGTAAACTAACGGTAACGATATCTACTGTTACATACTCTGTGTTTACTGTTGTAAACTAACAGTAATATTTACTGTAATGTACCCGTACTCCAACAAACATTTAAGCTTAATAACATTTATTCCTGCCTTATCAACATTTCATATTAACATTGTATTTTAATTTAAATACATGTGATAATACTAGATGCCGCCACATATTAATAATAACGTAGTTACTTGAATTTTCAGGGTTAACAAAAACTTTACCGAAAATAATTAATTTATTATATTTAAATTGATAAACTTAGTAACCTAAGGAAAGGTAGGGTATATCACAGGCGGATGTTTGTTTATAATTATGCACAATGGGCTATCTATGCTCTGCCCACCACGGGTATCGAAACCCGGTTTCTAGCGATGTAACTTCGTAGACATACTGCTGTGCCACTGGGGGGGGGGGGCGTCAGAGGAGGAATATACTTGTCCTGCCTTTTTCCGAATTTTATTTATTGGGATCTGCTTGTATAAAACTTGGAATATACTATTAAACTTCGCACGTTCAGCTTTCATTTATTTGTGACATATATATATATATATTATCCTCACTGAACCTGTGTATCGACTAGGTTACATTCTCAACCAATGGTTTTTGATTTGCAAGATTAAATTAAACCTCGGTTTATTTAATAGAATAAAATCTGGAAGGATAAAATCTAAACATTTGTATTCCAAGCCATCCCAACCATAGTAACAATCCACAGACATTATAAGAAATATACCCTGCAGGACGTAAAAGTTTGCGTAATCAAATCAATGTTTCGGACTAAGCGTTTTGTACGCATACTTAAAGGAAAGTTAACCGAACCAGGCACGTTTTGGATTTTACAAATCGTTGACGTTTTTATTTTAGGCTCAATGTTTGTTTGTTTGCTTGCATAGCTACAACAGTAGGCTATCTGTCCACCACGCTGTAATTCTGTACGTTTACATCCAGCTGACTCCAAGAGAAATTACAGTGGTGAAATCAGGTCGACATTTAATAGTTAAAGTGTATATAAGTCTTTAAAAAAGAAAAATGGAACCCTTTCTTCTCACTTTTTTTTTTTTTTGTAGGTCTACGGATGTCATGATGGTGACTGGAGCGAAGGCAATTCACATGCAAGCGGTGGAGAACATGTTCATGAGAATGAGCAAACAAAAGACTACTTTACTTAAAATAGACAGCGTGGGTGACGTCCTCCAAGGAGCGGTGAGTACATGCGCTGCCACGTGGAAAAATATTTACAGTCCTTTCCGTTCTTATATCATTGTAACTGAATCTTATTATATCTAGCAAAGTTTTTGGTTATATCTTGTCCAGTTACGTCTCTTACTTCAAAATGTACGAATAGTCTTTTAAACATGAAACTTTGTTATTTTTATAGATCGTTTTGTTTTATCGAATATCGTTATCGCTCTCACTTTATACCTGTTTCCATTTTTAGCCTGTAAAGCTTGCTCAGAATCTACTTCTCTTTGTAAAAGGGCTCGGATACTGTGAGTACACCTTAAATATTTAGTTTTAAACCTTTCTATTTATTATCCTTTTACTTTAGGAGTTACCTATAAATACATTTATCTTTAAACCTTGCTGTTTATCATCCTTTTACTCTAGGGGTTACCTATAAATACATTTATCTTTAAACCTTGCTGTTTATTAACATTTTACTTTAGGGGTTACCTATAAATACATTTATCTTTAAACCTTGCTGTTTATTATCCTTTTACTTTAGGGGTTACCTATAAATACATTCATCTTTAAACTTTGCTGTTTATTATCCTTTTACTTTAGGGGTTACCTATAAATACATTTATCTTTAAACCTTGCTGTTTATTAAACTTTTACTTTAGGAGTTACCTATAAATACATTTATCTTTAAACCTTGCTGTTTATTATCCTTTTACTCTAGGAGTTACCTATCAGTACATTTATCTTTAAACCTTACTGTTTTTATTCTTCAATAAATACTGTTCTAGTAGATGAAACTATGAAGAGAATGTTTATCTTTTAGCTTAGAATGATAAATATTGATTCATTCACAAAACGTTTGAAATATTTACAGTTATGAATTTTAAGCAACACAATTGTAAAGAATATTAAGTAAATTTAAATTAATTTGGTTATATCTTGAATTGTAACAAATATTATAAAAATGTTAAACATATGTTCCACGGATAAAGTGTAGATAACCAGTAAATAATTTTAAAACCTTTACCTTTAATTAAACAAACGTTTCCTGGATAAGGTGTAGATAACCAGCTTTGAACTGAAGTGACCTCCTGCTTCTGCCAGCCACACGTTTCCCGGAGTCATTCCATTTCAAATTTCTAAGTATATGAAAGGCAGGAGAAGCTTGATATTTGTTTTATTATTTTGGGCTTTAAATTTTCTAGCCTCGTCGATGGCATGATTAAAAATATTCAAGACTTTGCTTCCTTTCCCTTTTTTTTTTCATAATAGGTGTAATCAAAAGCCTTAATAATTAGATATAAGAATGTCATCAATATGTCTACCAGCAGGAATGGTGTACAAGGCTTTTATATCGTATCTATAAGTAAGATTTGTTACGTATGAATAGATAGAAACCTGCAACTTGAGGGTTAAAGTTATTTCCCTTTGGAATTCTTTATATTTGTGATGATAGAAGTAGTCATGATTTTCACCCTTCCATAACTAGTATAGAATATATATTTTCAGGTATATTCAAGTAATATTTTCCTAAATTTCCATGCAGTTAATCACATTCTTATTAAATGGATGTTGAAAGGTTGTAAATATGTACTAATTCATTTACTCAGGTAAAGTTGCATATGGCAACAACTAGGGGAGGGTAAACCCATTTCAAGGGGTATTTGTACAAATTTATATTTACTAGTTCGAGTCATTTTCAACCCCAGCAGCCAGAAGTAGGGGCAGACCAGTAAGTGAAATATATTGAATGATATATTCTGCATTTGATTTGATTTCTGTGTAACGTTTCCAAAATCTACGTTTTGCAATTACTTTGAAACTTTTATACTGGACACCAGTCAGCCTGAATACGACAAATTAGTTGAAAAGAAACATTTTGGTGCCGTGACTGTGAACATGTTATTGTGGGGTTTATTTTGAACATGCTTCTTTTCCTGTTTGGTTCTCTTATACAGTGAACTTCGTAATTTGTGACCTTGAAAAGTTACTTTCTGGGACCACTTAGAACTTACAGCAGAGAGGAGAAAGCCGTAGATAAATTTAAGGCATATTCTCTGACAAGGACTGAGTGAGACATACTCTCCTAGACCAAGAGCTTTCACCAGCAATGGTGAGAGCTATGTTGGCATTCTCAGTTCATTCTTAGGGCAGTGTGGTAAGTTGATTTTCCACTGGGTTTTCTTGTTGCCCTATATATAACTTTCAATGGCTATTTCCCAAGCACTGGAGCACAAGGTAGTAGGGAGAGAGGTCACAGTAGTGTCGAATAACCTAAACATCCAGAGACTAGCTGGAATAGTCTCTATGGGAAAATTAGTGAAAATTGTGCTAATAATGACTGGAGAGAGTAGGGAGGATGCACCCTGGATGAAGGACAGTTTGTTTCACTACAAAGCTCTCAGGGAACAATCCAGAAGCCATGTCTGGTGGTAGAGGACACTGTGAGATATGATGAAAAATGTTTGGTATTACACATTACATCATCATTGTGGAAGGTATGGCATTTACTACCTCACAACTTGTTATCTGAACCAATGGATGGAGTTAATGAAAGGATGATAAATATATGTTGGTGCTGACTGGAGCTTGCTACCTGCTTTTCTACCACTTCATGACTGAGAGTCTGTGCATGTTTGGGAGAGGTTTGCTTTTATTAACATTTCAGAGATGCATGCGTCCTCATGAATGTGATGTTACTGTGCTAAGTAATTATTTAAATGATGCAATGCATGGTCATGCATGTCATCATGAAAATGTGACGTGTTGACACACATTGTCATCATATCTCTTCTAGTTCTTTGTCGCTGGGCAAGGTCTAGGAGCATTGTCTTCTTCCAAAATTCCAGAGACGTGTTGAGGTAAGGCAAAATTCGTAAACTCACCATTGTTTAAAAGGAATTGATGGATTCAAGGACAGTTGGTGGTTCATCCTTTGATGCTGAGTCATACTTATTCGATGCCTGATCATTGGTTGCACAAATGCCCTTAATCTTTTTTTGCACAGAACTATTAGATATACGTGCCTTTCAGGCCATCTCCACAACAGATACAGGAAAGTCATTGACTAGCGATGACCAATGCAGCAATTACTTATCTAAACCAGTAGAGCCTGCTTTGGATCTGACTACCAACTTTGGTCAGAGCAGCTGTCAGTTTGCATCTAGCACCAGGATGGCTGGTTTGTAGAACCATGAACTAAGCATCACGTGGTACATAGAGAAGAAAATACATGGGTGCGAGGTTGAGTTTTTAGCCAAAATCTTACTCGACCTTGTCATGTATTAGGTGCTCTGTAGATAGCAACTACTTTGGTTAATTAGCACAAAAATTGTTCTGGCAAATGGTGACAAGCCAGACGGGAGTAGAGAAGTGTAAGTCTCTTACTTCATCTTGGCAGTGTCTCCGCTAAGTGAAAGTGGTTGTCTCTGATATGAGTTTAGGTGTTGGTATGTTAGGTATGAACGTACTGCAGAAACTGTCACTCAGTTTGCTCGTGCAACTGTCAAACTGCAGTTCTGCAACAAATCGATCCAGTTCCGACTAGATAGGGCTAATGTGCAAGCAGTATTGTATGGTGTACTAAGGACGCATTGTCACCATCTGCAGCGTGCATGAAACACATAGTTTTCTGTCTGAAAAGTGGAATGTCCTTGCTCTGTTCGGTGTTAGTCCATAACTACATTCGTTTTTATTCAAGCAAGGTTACATATACCAATAGCTATAAATTCACATCACGTTGAGACATTTCAAACTGTACAGATTGATATGAATTAGTGGGTTTTTTCATCCCTATAGGTGATGATTGGTATAGTCGTAGACGTGGGCAGAGGTGGACCATAGTGTACTGTACTTTTAACATTTTGTCTAAATGTCGGATGTAGATTAAGATCTGCTATGCTTATGTCCTGGACGGACGTTTTAAAGAAAGACTCATTTTCAACAACAGCAACCAGTTAAATTCACAATAGAATTAGAGACCAACCCTGTGTCTGAGACCTCAAGGAGTGAGACCAACCATGTGTCTGAGACCTCAAGTGGTGAGACCAACCCTGTGTCTGAGACCTCAAGGGGTGAGATCAACCAATATGTCTGAAAACTCAAGGGGTGAGAGTGTGAGATCAACCATGTGTCTGAGACCTCAAGCGGTGAGACCGACCATGTTTCTGAGACCTCAAGGAGTGAGACCAACCATGTGTCTGAGACCTCAAGTGGTGAGACCAACCCTGTGTCTGAGACTTCAAGTGGTGAGACCAACCCTGTGTCTGAGACCTCAAG